GAGAGAGAGACGAGAGAGGGAGAGAGAGAGAGAGATAGCGAGAGAGAGAAAGAGAGCAGAAGAGAGAGAGCGAGAGAGAGATAGCAGAGAGAAAGACAGAGAGACAGAGACAGAGAGAGAGAGACGAGAGAGAGAGAGAGGAGGGAAGAGAGAGAGAGAGAGACAGTCAGAGACAGAGACAGAGCAAAAGAGAGAATAGAGAGAGGAGAGTCAGAGACAGAGACAGAAGAGCGAATAGAGAACGAGAAGACAATGAGGAGAAATGCGTCATTCAAGCACTCGCCCGAAATAACAATTACGGAGCAAAGATCGCGAGAGAATCGTGGAAGAATCCCTTCCCCTGCGTAGCTTCCTGAGATACCTCCCCCATCCCCCTCCCCGCCGCGCATGCGTCACCTCACCCGGTAACGCTGTGGAGTGTAGTGAACCAGTAGCACAGCTGTCAGCAGGCCGGCCGATGAGCGAACGCGCGCATCCGCTAATGGCCGACGACCGCTCCCGATCCAGCGCCGATCACGCGCCTCTCAGCCACGGCGCACATCTCCCCGACGGCGGCGCTGGAACAACACACGAAGCGCGAAACCATCACTACCATGACGACCGTGACGTCTCGCCAGAGCGATAGTTCTGACCACGCCGCCAGGGGCGCCTTGACGCACCACAGGGGCGGCCCTCGATCGCCTCCAGAGGGCGCCGCACGCGCGGCGTCCGCACGACCGTGGGCGCCATCTCCTACAGGCTTCTACATGCAGCTCTCGCCTCGCGTAACCAACGGCAACCGACGTTCTGCGAACCCGGATCCTTTAGATAACCCTCGCTCCTACCTACCCCCTATAGAACAGTGCGGATCGCAAAAGTGAGGTAGACAACCCTAGACGCTAAACGTAAATAAACCCCAGCCCCCGCCCAACTAATAACAAATCACAGCCTCACCCTAACAATAGATACCCCCCCCACCCCCCGACACGCAACCCTGCCTGGACACCCAACGGTCGATCTATAGCAGTTTGCTCGCCCAACGTAGATTGCCCCGCCCCCAGCCCCACCCTGCCGATCTGTAGGCGCCACCCTGCCTGGGCACGGCGTCTCTCGCTCGCGGTGCGTAACGTGCGTGATCTACCGCTGCGGCCGCGCTCCAGCCGTAGATGCCCCCGCCCCCGCCCCCGCCACCATCAAGCCATGGCGCCCCTGGCTTCCCCTCGCTCGCAACGTTGAGCGTTCGTGGCGTACCTGCGTAGCTGCCCCGTGGCGCCCCTGGTCCCCTCTCCTCGCATCAGCGCTTACGTGCGTACCTGCGTAGTCTGCCCCGTGGCGCCCCTGCCGTCCCCCTCGCTCGCTCGCTCTCGCGTGCGTGCGTGGTACCTTGCCGTAGGCTGCGCGCGAAGCTCCCGCGTCTCTCAGCCGATGTTGAACGGCTGCCGTGAAGGCCAGTGAACAAGGCTTCCGCGGTCTATCTTCGACGGTCCCCACTGACCGAGCCGGCTGCGCATGCACGGACGTGGCGCGCAGCAGCGCTTGTTGGAGCGCCGTGAAGCGTACTGCTCAGGCCAGTACAGGTCCAGCCCGCGCACTGTCGTCGTGGCAACGAGACGCAGGGGAGGAAACACAAGAGAGCAGTTTAGACGAAAGTTTGTTACCAGCCGACCCAGAGATAGAATGCTCTGTTCGCCGTTCGCCGAGAAAAACAAGCAGAGAGCAGTGTTAGCCCTCCTTCCGCTCTGATCTAGTCGACCCCTCCCCCTCCCTTCATGACAGTCAACCCCCTCCTCCATAACCGGTCAACCCCTCCCTCTCCCTCCTCCCTGTGGACAGCCGTCAACCCCTCCCCCTCCTCTCCTATGACCAGTCAACCCTCTCCTTCCTCCCCGCTGACAGATCAACCCCATCTCCCTCCCCTCTCTCCCGTGACCGGTCAACCCCCTTCTCCCCCGATAGCCTCCCCCTCCCCTCCTCTCCCCGTGGACCACTCAACCCCCGGCCCCCTCCCCTGATCACCTCGTCTATCTCTGGCTGGCCGTACTTGGCTATGCGGTGCACACGCTCACGCGGCAGTGCAGGTAGACGTGAGTGTAATTCCTGCTGCCAGTAGCGCTGACAGTGTGAAGCACAGACGCTGAGCCTGCTCCTGCTCCGAAGCCTGCTGCAGCTTTCACCGACTGATCCACCGCCCACACCTGTACAGGTGAGAGACGAATACTCGTTAGCGACAGTGTGGTGCGTGCATACTACTACTGCTGCTGCTGCCTGCTACTACTGCTGCTACTGCTCACTGCTGCTTACTACTACTGCTGCTGCTACTGCTGCTACTACTACTACTGCCTGCTCTGTTGCCCTACTACTGCCCCTGCTGCTGCTGCTGCCTACTACTACTGCTGCTGCTAGCTACTGCCTGCTACTGGCTGCCTGCTACTACTGCTGGTGCTGCATGCTGCTGCTGCTGCTGCTGCGCTACTGCTGCCTGCTACTACTACTTCTGCTGCTGTTGCTACTACTACTGCGCTGCTGTTGTCTACTACTACTACTGCTGCTATGCCTGCTGCTGCTGCTACTCTGCTGCGTACTAGTTAGTCGTTGTCAATCGCCGTTGTAATTTCGTAACTCTGATCATCGTATGCGACCAACGAGAACCGATGATCGGTTACAATCGGTTACTCGGGGTGTTGAATGCCTGCCGTGCGCGTAACGTCATGTGACTGTGCTTGTTTAGCCCTGTTTTACTGTTTGTATTGCACTGATTTACTACTGTGTGATATAATACATGTACTGATTCTCATCACTTTTCCAAGTTTTCTTGTTCAAATTTAAAAAAAGAAAATTTTTTTAAATTTTTTTTTGTTTCGATGAAAATCGATTATGGATTTTGATAACCAAGCGCTTGGTTCGAGCCACTGTTCAACCGATGATCGAGTATAATCGATGATCGTGACATCACTAGTACTAGTGGTGGTATACCAGTGACAATGTACTACTGGTACCATGGACTAGTGACAATGTACTACTGGTACCATGGACTAGTGACAATGTAGTATGGGTACCGTGTAATAATGGCACTATTGGAAACACATGATAATGGTACCATGTACCACTGATAATATGTTATACTGGCACCCTGTACTACTGATGGTGTACTAATGACACCCTGTGCTACTGGTAACATGTACTACTGATGCTGTATATTCCTGGTAATGTGTACTAGTGATGGTGTACTAACAGTGCCATGCACTGCTGTTGGTACTGAGGCTGGTGTCACCACCACCACCAGCACCAGCACCAGCAGCAGCAGCAGCAGCAGCAGAAGCAGCAACAGCAGCAGCAGCAGCAACAGCAGCAGCAGCAGCAGCAGCAGCACCACCACCCACCACCAGCACCACACGCGTGTTACGTCCGCACACAGCTCACCTGTTCTGGACGAGATAGTGGTTGTCCCCGGTGTCAGGCGAGGAGGAGACGGACACCCAGCATTCCTCCGTGACAAGGTCCAGCCGCGGATCTACACACACACACAGAGGAGAGACGATGATGTTACGTCGTGATGCTTCATTCCATGAGAACCACGATTCCTACCGCGCGCATTCCCCTTCCACGACCTCACCGCCAATAATGATTACCAAGCTAATATAGGAAGACCACACACGGGCTACCACAAGTTGAAACTAGTCGTTCATTGCTAACTTTGAGTAGGAATTTCTTAAACAAAACTTTTCCCATATACATATACAATGGCAACATCCAACCAGCAAGCTAAATGCACGTGGGGGAAGCTGTGCCCTGTAGAGGCTGTCCAGGCCTCTTCTTCACACGTCTTTTAATATAGGAAGACCTACCCATCCCTTCCCCTCCTCTCCTCTCTCCCTTTCACACATTCTTCCGCTTCTCCCTTACACCGCTGAGCTCCGAAAACCCGACCGATCGATCCCAGATATGCATGTACCAGATATGCATGTACCAGATATGCACAAAACGTGCAACCCCTGTAACACCGCGCACACGACGCGACCGCTCACTCACTCACTCGCGCGCGCACGATCCTGCACCACCCCCTCACGCGTCCCCCGCGTCGCACGACCGCTCACTCACCTCCTAGCAGGCTGTTCTCTATGCAGAGTGGAGTCTTGTCGGTGACGTAGAGCGGGGGCAAGTCTGGACTGTGCGATGACGCCTGGCTGTAGACGTTCATAGAGAAGCTGTCAACACCCTGCAAGCAAAGACCAGTGTGAGTGCGGGACGCACTGATCTCTCACTCCTCTTTGTACAGGCAAAAGACCGTGTAGCGCAGAGGACGCACTGATATCTCACTACGTCTCTTTAGTACAGCAAAGACCAGTAGTGAGTGCAGGACGCACTGATATCTCACTACGTCCTCTTTGTACAGCAAAGACCAGTGTCGAGGCGCGGAGCGCCTGATATCCTCCACTACGTCTCTTTTGTACCAGCAAAGACCAGTGTTGATGCAGGAGCATGATATCTCACTACGTCTCTTTGTACAGCAAGACCAGTGTGAGCGCAGGACGCCACTGATATCTCACTACGTTCTTTGTACGAAGCAAAGACGCCCAGGTGAGTGGCGGAACGCACTGTACCGCCACTACGTCTCTTTGATAGCAGCAAAGACCAGTGTGAGGCGCGGACGCCACTGATATCTCATTACGTCTCTTGTACAGCAAAGACCAGTGTGGTGACCACGCGTCTACCATCTACTCTCTCACATGCTGATCACTCACCACGTCTCTGCTCTCACACATAACATGTTTCTTGTACCACGACGCTTCTCACTACCCCCTGTCACTCACCCCTCACTATGCCGCCCCGTGCGTGGCGTGTGTGCGTGCGTGCTGGGTATTTCGTGGTGTGTTACACGCGCGTTGAGACTCACGTACTTTCACTTCGAGGCCTTGTCCCGCACGGCGGAATCCTGTAGAGCAGTAGATCGTCGTAGGATGAGGTCAACACAACTCCTCCTCCTCCTCCTCTTCCTCAGGCGTCATCAATGTGTCATCAAGCCGCCTCCCGGCGGGGGTGCCGCCCGCCGCCCCCGCTGCCCTCTCTCCCTCGCCGCCACACGACCTGCAAGAGGGAGCCACCGTGAGCCATCGAATGCGAACGTGCGGAGTGGATCACCAGGTCGGCCGCTGATGACGATTATCCTGTCGGAGATGCGAAACACCGCGCACCTTGGAGACAGGTAACCAGGCAAATCAGCCTGCGCAGCTAACCACATTAAGCCGACACTATACCCTGTCTAAGGGTAACGCACAATTTACACTGCGTCGTTAACGACGTTGAGCAGCGAGCAACCTATACACCTGTCTCAGGTAACGCACAATTTACCTGCGTGTTAACGACCGTTAGAGGAGTAACCTATACACCTGTCTCAGGTAACGCACAATTTACCTGCGTGTTAACGACCGTTAGAGGAGTAACCTATACACCTGTCTCAGGTAACGCACAATCTACCTGCGTGTTAACGACCGTTAAGGAGTACCTATACACCTGTCTAGTAACGCACAATTAACCTGCGTTATGTTAACGCCGTTAGAGGAGCGAACCTATAACACCCTGTCTCAGGTAACGTACAATTTACCTGCGTGTTAACGACCGTTAGAGGAAGCCAACCCTATACACCTGTCTCACGGTAACGCACATTTACCTGCGTGTAACGACCTTAGAGTGGAGTAACCTATAAACCTGTCTCAGGTAACGCACAATTTACCTGCGAAGGATTAACGACCGTTAGAAGAGTAACCTATACAACTGTTGCAGCAGGTTGCGCTAGAAATCTTAGACGACCGTTACGCGAACGCTCGAGCGATCCTCCCCGCTCTCAGCTTGCCTTAAAATAATTAATATTATTATTATTAATTGTTAATAAATATATAATTATTAATATATTATTTACAATTAAATATTAAGAGCTAGACGGCGTCGCTTCAGAGACAGATGCGGGGAATCGAATACATCACGCTGAGCTGTCGTCCGCTCGTTTGCTCGGCTGCCGGCAGTTTACACAGCTGCCTCCCACTGTTTACCATCTACGCTCGCCTCCACTCAGCACGCCCGCGCAATCTCGTGATCGACACGCGACACAGACGAGGGACATGCGACAGCGTCACGCGACACAGACGAGGGACATGCGACAGCGACACGCGACACAGACGAGGGACATGCGACAGCGACACGCGGCACAGACGAGGGACATGCGACAGCGACACGCGACACAGACGAGGGACATGCGACAGCG